TCTGTAATATCTCCCGTGAACACTTGGGGGAGTCAGTCACAGTGACGTCTTAGTAAATCAACTCTAAGACAATGAATAGGGCTGTGAAGGTTTTATCCTAATGCCCTATGTTATGTTGTTTGAAGTAGACCGACATAGCTACAGTAATGTAGCCGGTGTTAAAGCTGTGTAATGGAAAAGGGGGGGCTAGGATGAAAGGGGGTAATGGTTAGAGTTTAGAGAAAGACTAATAAGTGACCTTTCTTTTCAGGAACTTGGAGTTCATCTGCATGTCCTCCTCCCACACCAGAGACCTCTTTTCAAACACTGGCTTATCATCCCTAAACTCTGACACACAACACACAAACATGTAAATAGGGGAACACTCATAATAGTGTGTGCGTGTGTGTGTGCGTGCGTGCGTGCGTGCGTGCGTGTGTGTGTGTGTATGTGTGTGTGTGTGTGTGTGTATATTTGGGGCAAGAACAGCAGGAAGCTCATGTTGACAGGAGAGCCAACCTGCACTCGGCTGGCCTAAACAAGAACAGGATATGATATCACACAGGGAGATAGATGTGGCAGGAGCAGTAGTGCCTTGTATGTCCCGGGTGTAGGCCGGGTTACTGTAAAAGCACTTTGTGACAACTGCTGATATAAAAAAATATGCTTGATTGATAGATTGTATATTAAGTAGAAGTGATGACCTCCTAACCATCATGTAGGAAATAGCTGTGCCAACACTGCTGTACCACAGGGAGTGTTGTTGATTAGCTCCATGGCTGTACCATAGGGAGTGTTGTTGATAGCTCCATGGCTGTACCATAGGGAGTGTTGTTGATAGCTCCATGGCTGTACCATAGGGAGTGTTGTTGATAGCTCCATGGCTGTGTGCATGCAGTATAAGGGCCTCTCCACAGTCACCTTGAACTCTCCCAGCTCTCGGCCAACCCCTCAAACACTGTCACAAAAGATTCTTCATACACACTGTTGCATCCCCCCACCCACACACACACCCACACCCATACCCACTCAATTGAAGTCGCTATCAAGCTAACACATCATCACTTAGTACCCTACACATCAACACCATAGCACCCTCCAAGCTCATCATTAAGCTCCAGGCCCTGGGTCTGAACCCCGCCCTGTGCAACTGGGTCCTGGAATTCCTGATGGGCCGCCCCCAGGTGGTGAAGATAGGAAACAACATCTCCACTTTGCTGATCCTCAACACTGGGGCCCCTCAAGGGTGCGTGCTCAGCCCCCTCCTGTACTCCCTGTTCACCCATGACTGCATGGCCAAGCACGCCTCCAACTCAATCATCAAGTTTGCAGACGACACAACAGTAGTAGGCTTGATTACCAACAATGACGAGACAGCCTACAGGGAGGAGGTGAGGGCTCTGGGAGTGTGGTGCCAGGAAAATATCCTCTCACTCAACGTTAACAAAACAAAGGAGATGATCGTGGACTTCAGGAAACAGCAGAGGGTGCACCCCACTATCCACATCGACGGGGCCGCAGTGGAGAAGGTGAAAAGCTTCAAGTTCCTTGGCGTACACGTCACTGGCAAACTGAAATTGTCCACCCACGCAGACAGTGTGGTGAAGAAGGCAAAACAGAGCCTCTTCAACCTCAGGAGGCTGAAGAAATGTGTCTTGGAACTTAAAACCCTCACAAACTTTTACAGATTCACAATTGAGAGCATCCTGAGTGGCGCAGTGTTCTAAGGCACTGCATCTCAGTGCTTGAGGCGTCACTACAGACCCCCTGGTTCGATTCCAGGCTGTATCACAACCGGCCGTGATTGGGAGTCCCATAGGGCGGCGCACAATTGACCCAGCGTCGTCCGGGTTTGGCCGGTGTAGGCCGTCATTGTAAATAAGAATTTGTTCTTAACTGACTTAAATAAAGGTAAAATAAAATAAAAGAAATCCTGTCGGGCTGTATCACCGCCTGGTACGGCAACTGCACCGCCCGCAACCGCAGGGCTCTCCAGGGGCAAACTACCCGCCCTCCAGAACACCTACAGCACCCGATGTCACAGGAAGGTCAAAAAGATCATCAAGGACATCAACCACCCGAGCCACTGCCTGTTCACCCCGCTATCATCCAGAAGGCGAGGTCAGTACAGGTGCATCAAAGCTGGGACCAAGAGACTGAAAAACAACTTCTATCTCAAGGCCATCTGACTGTTAAATAGCCATCACTTGCGCATTAGAGGCTGCTGATGCCTATTGAAATCACTGGCCACTTTAAGAAATGGAACACTAGTCACTTTAATAATGTTTACATATCTTGCATTACTCATCACATATGTATATACTGTATTCTATAATATTCTACTGTATCTTAGTCCATGCCGCTCTGTCATTGCTCATCTATATATGTATATATTCTTAATTCCATTCCTTACTTAGATTTGTGTGTATTGGGTATATGTTGTGAAATTGTTAGATATTACTTGTTAGATATTACTGCACTGTCGGAGCTAGAAGCAGAAGCATTTCGCTACACCCGCAATAACATTTGCAACACGCGTATGTGACAAATAACATTTTATTTTATTTAATAGCATATAGGCTGTGTATGATGGTTACCACAGAGATACACAAACCCTTACTAACATTGATAGCATGTAGAAAGCCTACCATTAATGTTACAGTAGATGAATTAATAACAGATTCATAATGAATTAATAATAGACTAATTCATAGTAGGATAATAGAAACATTTTAGAAAGGGTGAACTCTTATTTTGAAGGGACAGTAAGTGTTGGATGTGCATTTGGCCAATGACAGACATTCCACATTTAACCCCACCCACTTGTGAAAATCGAAATATCAAGTTGTTTTTTTATATGCAAAGATAACAAAAAACGAACAATGTTTCTAAAAAACGATTAAAAAAAAAAATGTTCTTCCGAAAACGAGATGACGAAAATATAGGCGTTTTTCGTTTTTGAAAAAACCTGTTTTCACGTTGCTGACGTTGCCGTTTTACATTGCTGACGCCATTGGCCACGTTATACACGGAACCCCCCTCGCCTAACCCCTTTTGTCTGTCGCTTTACCATAATCTGACAATAGCAATACAACAATTTGGATGGGGTGCTTTCAGGACCTCTGCAAGCCAGAATGTTAAATAAAATTACATTTTAACTTACTCTACCCATTGTCTGGGTGGTTGGTCATAATGCAGCTGTAAATTTGTGACAAAATATCCACATGAAATAATTATTAAACAGACTTTTTAAACCATGGTAGTGCTTTCAGATTTCTATCACCTGAAGCGTGTGCACATGATGTACAGTGCATTCGGAAAGTATTCAGACCCCTTGACATTTTCCACATGTTGTTACATTACAGCCTTATTCTAAAATGGATTAAATAAAACATTTTCCTCATAATGACAAAGCGAAAACAAGTTTTTAGAAATTCAGTTTAGGTGCATCCTGTTTTCATTGATCATCCTTGAGATGTTTCTACAACCTAATTGGAGTCCACCTGTGGTCATTTCAATTTATTGGACATGATTTGGAAAGGCACACACCTGTCTATATAAGGTCCCACAGTTGACAGTGCATGTCAGAGCAAAAACCAAGCCATGAGGTCGAAGGAATTGTCCATAGAGCTGCGAGGCAGGATTGTATCGAGGCACAGATCTGGGGAAGGGTACCAAAACATTTCTGCAGCGTTGAAGGACCCCAAGAAAATAGTGGCCTCCGTCATTCTTAAATGGAAGAAGTTTGGAACCACCAATACTCTTCCTAGAGTTGGTCGCCCATCCAAACTGAGCAATCGGGGGAGAAGGGCCTTGGTCAGGGAGGTGACCAAGAACACGATGCTCACTCTGACAGAGCTGCAGAAAGATGAACGGAGAAAAGTACAGAGAGATCCTTGATGAAAACCTTCTCCAGAGCACTCATGACCTATGACTGGGGCGAAGGTTCACCTTTCAACAGGACAACGACCCTAAGCACACAGCCAAGACAATGCAGGAGTGGCTTCGGACAAGTCTCTGAATGTCCTTGAGTGGCCCAGCCAGAGCCCGGACTTGAACCCGATCTAACATCTCTGGAAAGACCTGAAAATAGCTGTGCAGCGACGCTCCCCATCCAACCTGACAGAGCTTGAGAGGATCTGCAGAGAAGAATGGGAGAAACTCCCCAAATACAGGTGTGCCAAGCTTGTAGCGTCATACCCAATAAGACTCGAGGCTGTAATCGCTGCCAAAGGTGCTTGAACAAAGTACTGAGTAAAGGGTCTGAATACTTACGTTAAAGTGATATCAGTTTATTTATTTATTTTTGCTTCGTCATTATGGGGTATTGTGTGTAGATTGATGAGGAGGGGGAAAAACAATTTAATCCATTTTAGAATAAGGCTGTAACGTAACAAAATGTGGAAAAAGTGAAGGCGTCTGAATACTTTCTGAATGCACCTGAATGCCCACATTGTCACCCGAGAAGTGGTGGAAAAAGTACTCAATTGTCATATTTGAGTAAAAAGTTAAGATACCTTAACAGAAAATGGCTCAAGTAAAAGTGAAAGTTACCCAGTAAAATACTACTTGAGTAAAAGTCTAAAAGTATCTGGTTTTAAATGTAGTTAAGTACAGTAGTAGCAAAAGTACTCAATTGTCATACTTGAGTAAAAGTACAAAGTAAATGCTATACATCAAATTCCTGATATTAAGCAAACCAGAGGGCACGATTTTCATTTTTTAATATTTTTTATTACTCACAGACAGGGGCACACAGTATGTGTTTCGTGAGTCCGCCAGATCAGAGGCAGTAGGGATGACAAAGCGTTATATTGATAGGTGCCATAATTCTGTCCTGCTTGAGCATTCTAAATGTAGCGAGTACTTTTAGGTGTCAGGGAAAATGTATGGAGTAAAAAGTACATTATTTTCTTCAGGAATGTAGTGGAGTAAAAGTAAAACTTGTCAAAAATATAAATAGTAAAGTAAAGTACAGATACCCCCAAAAAACTACTTAAGTAGAACTTAAAAGTATTTTTACTTAAGTACTTTACACCACTGCACCCGAGTCTCCCGATTGACCCACTCAAATTCATCTGGTCAAACCAGTTAGATCAGCACATATCTCTGAGAGCACACTTCCCTATTACATTGTTGATAACATATCAGCATTTGACTACCATCTCTTGCAGTTGTATCACACGCCTGGATGGACAAGTGAAACAGGTATTTGGCATGATGTTATTTTAATGGAAATAATACATAGATGTCTAACATAATTCCTCACATAAAATGAAAGAAAAAGGTATTTTCACATTTGATATGAAATTGTTGACCATACACAGCACTGTAAAGCATTGGACATTGTCTAACCACTAACCAGAGCTGGTTGCAGACATAAATAGCTCTCAATGTTAAGTTGTAAAAGAGATTCTAGATATATCCAGTTAAATAATAACATCTTCAGACTTAAACTTTAACTCATCAGTGCCTTCAACAGATATCTATCTCTCATAATTCATGTGTCCGTTTGGCCACCCTGCCATCCATCCTGAGGGTAGAGAAGTGGACATTAGTATCCAGGGGCAAAAGGAGGAGGGGGCAGATACTCTGTCGGTAACCCACTGTCCGTGGGTCTAACAGTGGTGACAGCGGTGATGGGTGGAAGGCCATTGTCAATTTCTCCTGGAACCATCTGGTACCCGTTCTCAGCAGCTGTATCAATATCCCTCACTCTAGCCTCCAGAGCTGTGAGTTTCCGCTGGTCTTGCCCCTGCTCATCCTCCACACTAATCTCTGCATACATGTGCTCCTGAGATGCACTTCTCTTCTTATGGAACTTCCTCTTGAAGTGGGTCAGGTTGCTGATCGCTGACTTTACGTCTTGATTCTTCTGTTGGTTGGAGTTTGGGTCCTGGTGGTGTGTGTTTGGTTGGGTCTGTGGTCTGTGTGTACATACAATCCTGGGTGCTGGGGGACCTTTAGATGCAGTGCTGCTCTGGTCCCTGTCCTTTCTCTGTGGTAGAGCAGGGCCTCTGGCAGGTAATTCAGGAGGTTGGTCTGGCTGGTCCGTGGTGACTACTTGTATCTTCCTGGGCAATGGCACTGGTTTAGCAGTACGATCTACCTGGAATGAAAATAATAGATGCCGTTTTAGAGTACAGTCTAACCTTAGTTCGCTTAACCTACAGAGAAATATGTAGGAAATTAGTTTTTAAGACCCAAAGTTAGATAACAACAATATTATGGAAATGTAGGCCTACAACACATTTGCAATAGTATTATCTCACCATTCAGAGTATGAAAATAAAGCTTTAGCCCTATCCCCAACAAACACATACTGTAAACACTATGCTAGTCCAGCGTCTTTACCATGCTTGGGGTTTGGAAGCTCAATGTGTTTAACTCGGACTCCAGGCAGGGGTAGAGTCTTGGAAAAGGGGTGTTTGGAGTTACAGGTGGTTTGCTAGTGTTTGGAGGTGGGCCGGCAGGGTCACTCAATGTGCTGGGACGATGTGGGAGGGCAGGTGGAATGTCCTCAGCTGGTTTTAGATGAGTACTACTGTTCATGTGTGGGGGGTTGTTTGGCAACACGCCATGATTAGGGTTCATGGCTTGTCTTTTGGGGAATAACAGTTCTGCATAATCAGCCTTGTCCTTGGATACCTACAACATGAAGTAGATGAAGGGGAAGAATGTTTAGTCAAACACACGTCAATTCACTTATGTATCCACAACAGTGTACAGAAATGCAGCACAGTGTGCCGTACCCTGACCACTGTGTGTTTATGCTATATCAAACCAACTCAATTCAAGCCTATAGGGTACCTGTGTGTATACAAAATAAACAATATGGTAGTTTGTAGTTTACTGAATCAAGTATAGTTCCTCACCTGTCCACAAGCTACAGTCAGCAGCTCATTGAAAGGCATGATGGGCACCCTGCGGTGAAAGTTCACCAGGTCTTGCAGTGAGCTGTGATGCATGTCCTCTCCTACAATAATGTAGTGATTGTCCTTCAGCACATCGATCATGAAGTGCCTGCACCGATCAGTGGCACTAGACATACAGAGAAAAAATGAAATGAGGAAGTGCAGACGGACTTTGAACTACACTGTTGAATAGAACAAGGGCGGGCACTTCATTTCAGAGAGGGTAGTATGTGGCATTGGTGTAGAATAAGATACGTTAAAATCTATGGAAACAGAACACAACCAATAAGCTCATTGTTAACATTTCTTTGCCTGCCGGTTTAAAGAAATGCCATCATATAAAATGCCATTCTTCATGTATCAGCTGAACAAACAACCAATCTAATGATGCCTCACCTGGAAGTGTCTATCTCATGTACAAAGCACAGAGGCTTACCGATAGGAGAGAGTGTATCCTATCCTGCTTTCACTGACACGGATCAGGAAGTAGCCTGTGGGGTTGGAAAGGAGCATTTCCTCAGCAACCCTGGGGCGAATAAACACAGCGATGTCAGAACAGACTTCGGTTTGAACTCACTTGACTGAAGACATTTACAACGTGCAGTCAGAACACAACCATTTAGTGCCCTACTGTAAGACAATAACAACAGTCATAAGGCATACAGTATATCCTTCACCACAGGCCACACATTGGTCTCATCTATGTTGTTTATCAGGAAAAAGTAAGTCCTACTGTTTGGAGTGTATTCCAATGGCACATGACAGAGACACAATTTGAGAACTTACTTCCTGGAAATAATGCCATGGAACCATTCTGGAACTACCCCATTACTGATGACACAGTCCAGTTGGAACTCTGTGAACCAGGAAAGGGCGTCATGTCTTCCCTGAGTTTGTGTTCCGTCCATAACCCCACAGTTGTGTCTTGGTAACATAGAGTAAATAATTATGTTAGGAAGCACCCCCCCCCCCCACACATTCTCTGTTATTCTGTTGCCAGTTTGACATGTCAACAATTATTTGATAAAAGGACAGTAAACATAAATAAGTTAGATTTGATGTCCAGTTATAAACTGTTAGAAGACGGTACAAAATGTAACCATCCCAATTTCAAAGAGCACTTAAGTTACACTTGGCTATTGCTTTTATTGTTCCTGGTTTTCTGAATTCAAAGAGGAAGACCATACAGCTGGCTGGTTGATACACTAATTTATATTTAGTAGCACTAATACATCTTGGATTATTATTATTATTATGTATACCTTCTACTCAATTTAAACTGAGACAGTTAACACAACATGAAACAGCTACACATACATGACTCATTGTTAGCCTCAATGCAAATCATGTTTTAAAACTCTGCTCAATATTCAAATATTATTTAGACAAGGGGGTGAAAACCAGATACATAAAAAATGCATCAAAATGAATCCAGTACGATAACTATAGTAATACCTGAGTTATTAGGCCCACTACATCTGCATGATACCACATTGTCTAACAAAGCAAACTCTTCTTTCAAAATGTAGGTTATAAGAAAAGTCCAAACCCACAAATAAAATGGCTAGTTACAATTTTAGTGGGCTTTTCAATAAAGCAACTTACCTCATGAGGAGCAACGCGCAAATGAAGCTATGCTCTGTTCACACACCTTTACAAGGTAGCGCCTGTGAGGGAAAAGGGTGGAGATATCTTTCCCATGCGTGATACAGGTAGGTCTATCGTAAATAGCCTTGTCTAGCCTCAATACTAATTACAGCTTTATCCAGCTCGGTTTTTTATTTTGTATTATTCCATATAAGAGTAGGCCTCTTCAATATTCATATACGATTGATAAGATTAGATAAAGACTCATTTCTAAAACTTTCGTTTCTCAACAAGTGCCATAAAATATTATGTAAACAGCACAGGTACAATCGAAAGTGTAGAAAAATAACGACAGTTCGTTGTGGTCGGATCTTGGGATATAAATATCTTACATTTCTGCAGGGATACCCTTAACATTATAGGAATTCATTGGGACAACAATTGATGGTAGCCTAATAAGTTGTAAGTAAATTGAGAAACTGCAGCAAGTTTTAAAATAATCATTTTAATAAATCACCAAAAGTACACATCTACAAAGGTGTAGATCAATTCAATAAGATTTATGAAAGTACAGTACAATCATTGTAGATATTTTTTCTTATTTACAATTGTTTTCTAAATGCTCTTTTCTCCCCCATTTTCCATAATTAACTATGAAATCCAAATTATTGTCTTGAACATGGAATGCTGTACTGATTTATGAACTGAAAAAGATTTACAAATAGTTCCACCAAAAGGAAACGAAACCATAACTGCCATTCTGATTAAACATTTGCCAGACCTATACAAGGTCCTGAAGATACACAGCGGTTCAACAAACTGACTGTGCCACACATTATGTTCTACACAAGAGAGGACATAGAAAGATAATAATTCAGTTTCTAAATACAACTTAGGTTGGTCACAAGTAGAGATAAGAGTTGTGCAAATTCAGGGGGAAGTAATTTCCTTTTGCTGTGATTTAATATGTGCTCAATTTCCTATAAATGTTTACGTTGACAAATGGAATGCAAGTTCCACATTAAGACAGATGAATGTAATGATGGGGGTGACAAAAAGTATAAAGAGAATAGAAAGCTATGCAATAATGATCCTACATTTATAATCTCAAAGAAAAGCTCTTCAAGTCAAATGTGCAAACCCTCAAGAGGTCCTACAGTCTCATGCTGCATAGTTGCAAAGACCATGATATCAAGTATTAGATGAAAATAAGACACGCGTGTTGCCATGGACCTGGCAAGTTCAGAGGGAATGACAAGCAAGGAAGGAGGACGCATGTTGCCATGGACCTGGCAATTTCAGAGGGAAGGACAAGCAAGGAAGGAGACCGCGTGTTGCCATGGACAGTGGCAAGCTCAGAGGGAAGGACAAGTACGGAAGGAGAACAAAAACGAAACGCAAAATCCAATAGGCAAAGATACTTTCCTCCAGGCATCCATTTAACATTGTCACCCTTATAGCTGACTTAAATCACTGAGACTATGATTAAGTCTTGAGGATAGGGACTGGTAGAATATTGCAACTCTTGCAAGGCTTTCTACAAGGGCACATTCATATTTGGATGTTTTGTTGTTTCACTCTGAAAATAGTGACTACATGTCCTCTGACTCGTTGCTTGTGACATTTGAGTCCATTGCCATGTCACTACATTGCCCCCTAGTGCTAGGATAAAAGTACTGATGCCAATGCCATCAATGTAAAACTGCAATCATACCCAAAACACCCTGAAATAGACTGGTGTCTTAATACTGGCACACGAATAGTAAGAATCAACACCAAAATGTGGGGCTCTAAGTTTCAAAGCAGAAAGTATTAGGGCAACATATAGCTTCTTTCCACTTGACTAAAGAAGCTGCAGGAGTGGTTCTCTAGGGAAATGGACTGTCACAGCATTTTGATAAATCAACAGAAAGAAAAAGGAGAAGAGTAATAAACCTTTTCATGGCATCTATTTCAAATACTCTCAATACAGTAGGTTGACGTTATTAAATTGAGTTCTTATAATCACATTTACTTTAGTTGGAATGGACTATAGGCCTACAAAACAACTATAAAGGCAGACTAATATTTGCGCCATTGTCACTAATTTTCTGCCACAAATACGGACAACACAACAGCATGAAAACAGGCTACGAAAGTCACACAAAACTAAACCTGAATGGTATTACAGTATCACAATTTAACAACCAGTAAACAAGTAAGGAATAGTCTGAGAGGCTGGCATTTGAAAAGGTTGCATAAGACATAACAAAAAAAAAAAGTCAAATCCATGACATAAAGCAATTATTACCACCCAAAATATTCTCTCTCTATTTCAGTGGTCTCCACCTCACAAACAAGACGAATATATGGGGTAGAGAGAACATTTTGTGGAGTGGTTTAATATTAAAAACACATTTTGAATGCCAAAACCAAAAATGTGGGCAATTTATGCAATTAAATCGTTAGATCACAATTAATGTATTTCCTAACTAGACTGATGTTACTGTGGAACAGATTAACTGACAGCCACCGGAAGTTCTGGAATGTAATAGTTCTAATGAATACTGACATATTCCTATACAAGGGAACAGAATAAGACACGCTTTTGCAAATTGTAAGCAGTGAAGCCAATTTCATTACTAAAGTGCAATCAAAATGTGCAGATTTGGCACAATTGTTTTACCACTCAAATATGGTTACTAAATCTCGCACATAAAATTTTTGAAACTGCATAATGATAGAGTACATGTAAAATGATGAACACACAAGGCAATTTTTTAGGTATGTCTTTAGATGGAATGTCTTTACTATTGAAGAAAGAAGACGAGTAGGCGGCCAGTACGTTGCAATAAACTTTAGTGAACTGTTAACAGAAAATATATACAAAAGAATACATATTGAAGCAGATCAGCATTGTACGTGAGGACGCACAACTGCAACACGTTTCGACTTCTAATCTTCCTCAGGCAGCTTTGAAACGCGCTGCAGTCCTCATGTACAATGCTGATCTGCTCCAATATGTATTATTTTGCATATATTTTCTGTTAACAGTTCACTAAAGTTTATTACAACATCCTGATTACCTGCCATTTAGGGGCCTACCTTCCCACTGCCCTCATCTCACGTCTTCACTATTAAACATGGTAAGACGTTAACACTTCAGAATTTTTATAAGTATTATCTTAAGAAAATAAGTGTCTTTCTTGGATGCTATTTGTTGGATTGTAAATGAGTATTGTCAAGGTAGAAGAGAGAGAATCACTATCATTTGAGAAAGGAAAAAACAGGGACACAGATCTCCATAGTAGTAGCTAGATGACACAGAAGTCAACTATCTGACAGAAGACGTCAGATGTATGTATGATGGTTAACTAGTCTTATCATGGAATTAAGCCACTGCTTTTAAGGATAAGGTTAATCCACGTTGAGACAAAACCTCACTAAGGATACACTTTGGCAGCAGTGCAACCACATAGCAACATAAAGTACCTGTAACAATACCAACTGCAGAGGACAAAGAGAGAGGAGAGGGGGAGCAGAACCCTAAGTGTAATTATGAGAGACGATATAAGAGCATGAGGGTACAGAGGAGTGCCTGGTATAGAGATCTCCATCTAGCACCCATCCAACAACCCTGATTGATCCACCTGACCAATGAATGCTTCCGTTTTTCAACTGGGGGCACATGGTGAATCAGAAAAAAAGCTGAAAGCCCAAAGAGGCCTGGGATATGGGGAATGAGAAAGGGATGAGAACAGGGCGAAAGAGAGGAGAGCTCTGAGCAAGCGCAGTCCAGTTCTGTCCAGCTGTGGACAAGGATTAGGCCGTGGTCCTCACAGGAGGGTGCAGCGGAAGAAACTGCTCTTCTTGGGCTGTTCTGTGATCTTCACCCCCTGACTGCTGCCCTGAGGACTGTTGCCCTCCTGGAACACACAAATACACTCACTGTAAGTCAGAGCGGAGCGCACACACATTATATATAGCCCATCTAAAATAGATGTGCACATACTACACCACACACACTTACCAGTTTCTTGTCCATTTTCGCCTTGATGTCTCTGGCAAGGGTCATAAATGCCTGAAAATGTCAGGGGGGGAAAACAGGGCAAACTGAGATCAAATCAAAGAGAGACAAAACAATGTGCATCGTCTTTCACTAACCTACAGTGACATCACAGCAATTACTGTACTCCCATTGGTTTTAGAACTGCTTGGAATGAGTCAACTCTGTAGGCTCGGCCCTAAACGGTGTGCTCCCTGTCACCTGGGTCTACATGGCAAATGAAGCTAGCTATACGGATGTATGATCTCTGTGGTAACTTGTATCTGTACAGGGTGAACTTTAAAATTACTCTATACGAAAGGGTTTTATTGTCTTCAGGAATTCTGTCTTATTTACATTGGTCTCATCCTTCACACAAGCCTTATAGACATTGTCATGGGTGATCAGGTTACTGTAAACTTGGTATTGTATGATTGGTCAATGGTGGTTGGTTTTACACCTTCAGATGTTATAAATGAAATGAAGGTCTGTTGTTCTCCCTCTTATCCTGTATAGTGGATAACGGTTGTATGATATTTTCTAATTTCCTAGGCTTCTAGGACTCTGGCCTAGTAGACATCTCTTTGTTCATGCTTTGTCTTGTAAGTGAACCTTAGGATCTAGTATTGCCTTGTAACTTAAGATGTATGCCTTGTATGTGAATTAGAGGTCTTCACAGATCCACTTGTACCCGAATACCCGAGATCCGAACTCGAGCGGGTCTGGATCCAGAATTCTAAATCATGTCACAGGTCTGGGTCGGATCTGATATGATTGTCACTGGTATGGGTAATTTTAACCGACTTGTCCGGAAGGGCCAATACAGATCCGAACGCAACTGCTGCAGTACAGAGACATATCATTTATGCTACTGCTCTTGCTTTTCACGAGAGTGGAGCATGGCAAGTGTAGCTTGTTTTTGTTGTTGGCCAATCATAAGCCATCAAAGCAGCAATAGGCTAGTCATAGAGCCTCCGTGCATGTCAAAAGTTAGGAGACATCTAATCAATGGAAGATGTAATTACAATGACGGAAGGTGGATAGGCTAGAACGACCAAGAGCCAACAGGTAGGCTGCTACTTAATATTCTGAATGGAGTTATTTGTAACTGTAGGATGAGAAACCGCAATTAGCCTAGCTAGCTAGCTAGATTCTCCCGGTTTGATACAGTCAAGACAGGTACTACGTAATAATATTTGATGATAAATAAACTAGCTATAGCAGCCATTAGTCTACTATAGCGCGAGTCGGCTTGGTTGGTTGCCGTCTCTACCCTCCCTCTTCACCGTGTCACTCGTTCACAGTACGGCCCCTCCCCTGCCTGCGAGAGCGGCACCGCTCTCCCTCCTCTCGCGCTTTATCAGCTCCGGTTAATAAAGTAGCATAAACAATTCATTTTCTGCTGCTTCCCTCACCTCGGATCGGACCGGGTCTGGAGCCGACCAGGTCTATACGGAATGGGTCTAGTTGTCCACGGGTCCGTTCGGAACGGGTCTCTATATTTAAAACATTTATTTATGCATATCGGGTCCGGGTGGGAAAGCCCCAGATCCATTTCGGAACGGGTCCAACTTTTTGGACCCGTGAAGACCTCTAATGTGAATCCATTCATTTTACAAAGTATAATACTTGCTTTGATATTCTCTTCTCATGACCATTCCTTGATCTTAGTCAGCTAAACGCATAATTGCAAATGGTTTTACTATAATGTTAAATCCAGTTATTCGGTTTAATAGACTTTGACCATATTATTTTGCATAGTCTTATGACATTTTACCCCACTACAACTCACATTCTCCACGTTGATGTTGGCCTTTGCACTGGTCTCCATAAACTTGATACCATACTCCAACGCCAACTACCAACAGGAGATAAGAGGGACACAAAAAACCTCAGACAACATGTAGATTTCTGATTGCGCTACTGTCCATGTAGCCTCGCAAAGCCACCTGATCCCTCAAGCTCACATTAAAATGCTGCATGGATGCAGCGTTTTAATGTAAGCACGCAGGATCAGGTGGCCTTGCGTGGCTACATGGACAATAGCCCAATCAGAAATCTACATCTACTGTATAGACACTATTTAGTTATTTAGTTTATGATATGATACTTTTCATTTACTGGTCAGTGATCACCCACCTTCTCCCCTCTGTCTTTGGACACCTGTCGCTTGTCATTGACGTCACACTTGTTGCCCAGCACCATCTTCTCCACATCTGCAGAGGCATGCTAGACAGGACGAGAGGATATGAGTCATCCATAGTATTTATAGAGAAATGCAACACCTTCAATTTCACTCAATTCTGTTCTCCTACAGAGATATAAATGTTACAATTTCTGACGACTACCTCCTCTATATTCCTTATCCAGTTCTTGATGTTGTCAAATGACTTCTCGTTGGTGATGTCATAGACTAACATGATGCCCTGGGGAGGAAGAATAAACAGAAACATATAGTAAACAACCACTAACAGAGCATGTCAGATATTAGAATCCCGTTAAACCTGAGAAACCTGTACACTTGGGAGGATAGCAAATTGTTATAAAGGGCCTAAACAGGATTCCAGGGCGATTGTACCCACCTCCCATGGATGATCTCAGGTATGTACTGCTTCATTTACAACAATAAAGGGAGAGGCTCAGACTAGTGCGGAATCTATTAGTGATGCACTGATTGCCATGAATGTCTCTGAACATTATTTTTTAAATCCAAACTAAGTTCTTAGCTAGCTAGGCATATGCTTAGTACATTTGTGACATTGTGAGAGTGACATAGAGAAGCAAGGCGACTGACCATCGCTCCTCTGTAGTATGCCGTTGTGATTGTTCGGAACCGCTCCTGGCCAGCTGTGTCCCTGGGAGAGAACAACACAATGAGAGCCTTTCATGCCTATCCCTGAATCAACCCACTTGTTGAATTATAGGCCAATTGTGAGCATTCCCAAGGTGCTCTTTCCAAGACATAATTTAAGAGACATTGTGTGAAGAAGTCAAAGGGCTGTCTTACCATATCTGTAGCTTGATCTTCTTCCCGTCTAGTTCTATTGTTCTAATTTTGAAGTCAATACCTAACAGAGAGACAATTTTAAATGTATTTATATTTCACTGTTGTCTAACAGAGTTCCAAATGACAAAGGATCCTTGAAACAACCATTTGACGTTGATGTACAGCACTGTTTATGCAGAGGTGGCAAAAGTAGACTACATTCAACATTTGCTCGGAAGCTAGCAAGTACTTATTTGCATGACTCAAAGTCCAGAGTGACTGGGGTCTGGCTAGGGAGGCCCATCTTTTTAGATGATGTTGCAAGCCACACACAGGAAGTCAAGGACTTCAATGTACATTTCTGCAAAACATCAGGGGAAACCTCACCACACCTGTAGTTAGAGCTATCCTTTCTGTAATGTAACAGTGACTGGTTTGAACTAAGTAGCAAACTCTTTCAGCTAAAATTGGACTGCTTGCTGTGTAGGAACTTCACTGCTAGATTAGCTAGCTAGATACACAACATGACCAAAAGTATGTGGACACATGCTCGTCGAACATCTTATTCCAAAATCATGGGCATTAATATAGAGTTGGTCCCCCCATTGCTGCTATAACAGCCTCCACTCTTCTGGGAAGGTTTTCCACTAGATGTTGGAACATTGCTGCAGGGACTTGCTTCCATTCAGCCACATGAGCATTAGTGAGGTCGGGCACTGATGTTGGGCGATTAGGCCTGGCTCACAGTCGAAGTTGGAATTCATCCCAAAGGTGTTCGATGGGGTTGAGGTCAGGGCTCTGTGCAGGCCAGTCAAGTTCTTCCACACCGATCGACAAACAATTTCTGTATGGACCTCACTTTGTGCACGAAGGCATTGTCATGCTGGAACAGGAAAGGGCCTACCCCAAACTGTTGCCACAAAGTTGGAAGCACAGAATAGTCTAGAATGTCATTGTATAAGGTAGCGTTAAGATTTCCCTTCACTGTAAATAAGGGGTCTAGCCCGAACCATGAAAAACAGCCCCAGACCATTATTCCTCCTCCACCAAACTTTACAGTTGGCACTATGCATTGTGGCAGGTAGCGTTTTTCCTGGCATCCGCCAAACCCAGATTCGTCCGTTGTACTGCCAGATGGTAAAGTGTGATTCATCACTCCAGAGAACGCTTTTCCACTGCTCCAGAGTCCAATAGCGGCGAGCTATACACCACTCCAGCCGACGCTTGGCATTACGCATGGTGATCTTAGGCTTGTGTGCGGTTGTTCGGCCATGGAAAACCATTTCATGAAGCTCCCGACAAACAGTTATTGTGCTGACGTTGCTTCCAGAGGCAGTTTGGAACCTCAGTTGCAACCGAGGTCAGACGATTTTTACGCGCTGAGCTTGTGTAGCCTATCACTTTGTGGCTGAGCCGTTGTTGCTCCTAGACCTTTCCACTTCACAACAACAGCACTTACAGTTGACCAGGGCAGCTCTAACAGGGCAGAAATTTGATGAACTGGCTTGTTGGAAAGGTGGCATCCTATGACGGTGCCACGTTGAAAGTCACTGAGTTCTTCAGTAAGGCCATTCTACTGCCAGTGTTTGTCTATGGAGATTGCATGGCTGTGTGCTCGATTTTATACACCTGTCAGCAACGGGTGTGGCTGAAATTGCGGAATCCACTCATTTGAACGGGTGTCCACATACTTTTGTATATATAGTGTAGTTAGTCAGAGTAGGCTACTTGCTCACTTGACAGCCAACGTTAGCTAAGGAATCAGCTGGTGTCTGGTGACGTCGCCTACAAAAACTCATGAACATCTCAATGTTAGGTATGCCGGGGATGCTGAAGTGCTGGTTTTATTGTCAAGCGAGCAGTGTGACAAGCCGATTATTGTTTCCTGGCGTTGTTTCCTGGCTGGAGAACTGAATGCTAACCAAACAAGCTCTTGCTAGCTATCGTTAGGATGGGCGCTCACCACCAATATTGCTAGTTGGGGTCGGGAGCTAGCTACCCCTCTCCTGCATAACTTTTCGAACCAGAAAACTTACAAAATGCACATACCTATTGTCGAGATAAACGTTGAGTTAAAGGCATCTTCTGAAAATCTGAACAACACACAAGTCTTTCCGACGCCAGAATCGCCGATTAACAGTAATTTGAACAAGTAATCGTAAGTCTTCGCCATATTATTAGCTATCGCGGAAATCCCGCCCGGCAGCTGTGTAAAGAGATATGGTTAGTTAAAAAAAATATTTGGATATGTCACTGCGTTTTCAATTTATACTGGACCAGTGATTGGACAAACAACATGTCACTCTTGACAGTAGTCGTGGCTCCGGAAGCGCGATTTACCCACTGTCAATCAAAATAGAAAAGCCATCTGATTGTGCGCTTGCAGTCAATGTCCCACCCATTAAGATGTGATCCCACCCTTATACAGTTTTACAACTTTTCAGCTTCACATTCACAACAACAATATCAGTGTACAGTCTGCAAGCCGTGCTATAATATTTTTATCAAAGTACAGTGCCAGTGAAATAACAATAACCAAGAGAAGCAATGTCGGTAAGTGTTTTTTCTTTGCTCATGTGAGAAGTAGCCACACCAGAGCCACATATGTCGTGTTTACGCCACTGGAATAGCCAGTCAAATACTGTAGGCCTACTTCTTTATTGGAGGCCTTGCTTTCAGTGGTGTAAAGTACTTAAGTAAAAATATATACCCAAAAGTACTCGTTACATTTCGAATGCTCAGGCAGGACAGCAATATGGTGCAATTCATGCACATATCAATATAACGTTTTGTCATCCCCTCTGCCACTGATCTGGTGGACTTACTAAACACATACTGCGTTTGTAAATTATGTCTGAGTGTTGGAGTGTGCTACTGTCTGTGACAGTCTGTCCGTAAAAAAATAAAATGAAAAATCGTGCCGTTTGCTTAATATAAGGAATTTGATGTATAGCTTTTACTTTTACTAAAGTATGATGATTGATTACTTTTTCACCACATGTCATAAACAAATTAAATAGTGGGGCTTGTCCTGGGAATGGGATATATGTCTGGGCATGCCTCAAAAATAGTTTTTGTATCAGACATGAGAGGGCGCCCTTGACTTATTTACATCAAAACCATACATTTATATAAAATATTATTATAACTAACTAAAGATTAACGTTTTAATCTGTGTTTGTATAATTCTATGGCTCTTAATGTATAGACAAATTGTGTAAACTGCAAAATCATATATTTATACATTAATCCGTATTGCAGCTCGCTAAGGACCTAATGCACCCTACTTTGGAGGCTGAGAGGCAAAGACACAAGAAGAAGAGGTTGGTTCAGAGTCCCAACTCCTACTTCATGGATGTAAAATGCCCAGGTGAGTAGTAAGGATGTACAACTGCCCAAGTTTGCGACTTGCCATTAGGGCTGGGAATTGCCAGGGACCTCACAATACGATATTATCACAATACTTGCAGTACCAGTTAAAAGTTTAGACACACCTACTCATTCAAGGGTTTTTCTTAATTTTTACTATTTTCTACATTGTAGAATAACAGTGAAGACATCAAAACTATGAAATAACACATATGGAATCATGTAGTAACCAAAAAAGTGTTAAGCAAATCATAATATATTTTATATTTGAGATTCTTCAAATAGCCACCTTTTGCCTTGATGACAGCTTTGCACACTCTTGGCATTCTCTCAACCAGCTACACCTGGAATGCTTTTCCAACAGTCTTGAAGGAGTTCCCACATATGCGTAGCACTTGTTGGCTGCTTTTCCTTCACTCTGCCGTCCGACACCCCAAACCATCTCAATTGGGTTGAGGTCGGGGGATTGTGGAGGCCAGGTCATCTGATGCAGCACTCCATCACTCTCCTTCTTGTTAAAATAGCCCTTATACCGCCTGGAGGTGTGTTGGGTCATTGTCCTGTTGAAAAACAAATGATAGTCCCACTAAGCCCAAACCAGATGGGATGGCGTATCGCTGCAGAATGCTGTGGTAGTCATGCTGGATAAGTGTGCGTTGAATTCTAATTTTTATTTTATTTTATTTCACCTTTATTTAACCAGGTAAACCAGTTGAGAACAAGTTCTCATTTACAACTGCGACCTGGCCAAGATAAAGCAAAGCAGTGCGATAAAAACAACAACACAGAGTTACATATGGGGTAAAACAAAACAAAGTCAAAAATACAACAGAAATACATATATATACAGTGTGTGCAAATGTAGCAAGTTATGGAGGTAAGGCAATAAATAGGCTATAGTGCAAAATAATTACAATTAGTATTAACACTGGAATGATAGATGTGCAAGAGATGATGTGCAAATAGAGATACTGGGGTACAAATGAGCAAAATAAATAACAATATAGGGATGAGGTAGTTGGGCTGGCTAATTTCAGATGGGCTGTGTACAGGTGCAGTGATCGGTAAGGTGCTCTGACAACTGATGCTTAAAGTTGGTGGGGGAGATAAGTGTCTCCATAGAATCACAGACAGTGTAAGAAATGATGGACTGTCATTTGTCTTTGCTTATTTGAGCTGTTCTTGCCATAATATGGACTTGGTCTTTTACCAAATAGGGCTATCTTATGTATACCCCCCCTACCTTGTCTCACAACACAACTGATTGGCTCAAACTCATTAAGAAGGAAATAAATTCCACAAATTAACTTTTAAGAAGGCACACCTGTTAACTGAAATGCATTCCAGGTGACTACCTCATGAAGCTGGTTGAGAGAATGCCGAGAGTGTGCAAAGGTGTCATCAAGGCAAAGGGTGGCTATTTGAAGAATCTCAAATATAAAATATATTTTGATTTGTTTAGTACTTTTGTGGTTACTACATGATTCCATATGTGTTGTTTCATAGTTTCGATGTCTTCACTATTATTCTACAATGTAAAAAATTGTAACAATAAAGAGAAACCGTTGAATGAGTAGGTGTGTCCAAACTTTTGACTGGTAGTGTATGTGCCGATACGATATATATTGTGATTCTCACGATTCTACATATGCATTGCACTTCGATACTGATCTTTTATTGCGATTTGATGGTCAAAATATTGCTCACTATATATCTGCTGCAGAGAGACCATGAGAAAAGTAGTTTTGATCAGTCATGGAAATAAATGTGCTGAAAACATGTTGGCTCAATATTTAGAAAGAAGATGGAGAACAAGCTATTGGATGAACAATACTGGAGTTTTGGCCCAGGTACAGCCGACTAGTGCTAGCAAACACTACTCTAGCAAAATAATAATAATATAACAATTTTTAAAAAGTTACATCCTGCCCGCACCTGCAGCTTTCATACTGTACCCACCCGCTCCAGCTGGCTTTCTGTCCAACTCCCACCTGCTCCTGCAAGAACTGGTCCCGAACCCAACCACAGTCCTGCAATGTTATTTTAGGCATGTGATTCAGCTCGCTTGCCAGCCATGGTCTCAGCAATTTTGCGCCTATAGGCAATATCAAAATGTGCAAAAGTAAGTAATAGGTTAAATTACCAGAGATTCTCACATGGCCCATTATATTAGGTTATTGGTATTACTGGGCTATATCAGCCTAGGCTAGACGTAGTTTGAAGAGAGCAGAGTAGATGGAGATACAAGGGACACTTACAATTTCTCTTGAGTTACGTTTTATAGCCTACCTTTTAGGAGCGGGGCGATTTTCAGATGGAGACAAATATGGGTGATGAATATTTATTCCTAGGCAATGTAGTAAACTTTAGCCTAATCATATTTAGGAAGTACATTTCTTTGGAAATATAACTGCCCCGTGCTTCTCCGTCCATGCGGCTGTAGCCCAGGCAGCTTTATTTAATTGAGACCACACGCGCACCTGATCTTGCACGTATGGCTATTCAACTTGAAGCAGCTGATAAAATAATAAAATAAATAAAATCCATTAGCAGCTTTATCAAAGACTTCAGTCATGCATATTTTGTGTAGAGACCATACCGCGTTAAAGCGCGTGCCTAAAGCTACGAGACACGATGATGAGAGCGGAACTATCTCTTGAGCTACGTTTTGCATATAGAATATAGCCTACCTTTTAGGAGCGGGACAATTTGCAGGCAGAGACAAATTACTGGAAAATCAATATTCTTTGAAAAGGAAAGGTGCAACGCTCGCGCAACATGGTTGCGCCTTCTCCTTTTCAGTGATTATCTATTTTTTGGATTGCACCTCGACTCATGTTGGTTGAGCGCCCTCCACTTCTTTCCATTACCGATATTTATTTACAGACACTGTAATAAACTATAGCCTAATCATATTTAAGTTAATTCCTTGGAAAGATAACTGTCAAGTGATTCTCCTCCACCCATGCATAGACAGCCTACTCGATTTAATTAAGACCACACATACTGTAGGCACACTTGATCTTGCATGCCCAACTTGGAGAGGAGAGGTAGGCTCAGTGGAGATTTTAGCATGTAAATCTTGGTGGGGTGAAAAAAAAGAAATAAGTGGGATGCATGCCAGCAAACCCACAACACAACACTAAACAATACATTAATTGCACTATAACGGTGACAGACGGTGCCCACAAACTGTTAGGGCCTACATAAAGCTGTCCCAACAGCAGTCCCAACATCTTACCACTGCTACACCTGGCTATCAGCGGAGCCTTGTCTGGCAGCGAAACAGTTCATTCAGCCTCATTTACTGCTTAAAAAAAAAACATAGCTGATATAGCTGACTTGCTTAAACAAATGTGGTTTCTACTGATAATTGAGATGTACAAACTATGGCATAAGGGGACGACAAGCGGATAAGAGGCAATCCGTAATTTCGATTAAGACATTAATGAGCGAGCTAGGATGGACGTAGTCAATAACTTTGTTAAGCACTTTTGAAATGTAGTGTCTCCATGAGTGACAGAACATTGAGCCAATCACAGTGCAACTAGAGAACATTAACAACACCTATGCTCCGTATTTTCCGCTGGCTGCCCCACCACCACAGAAAGCACTGAGCTAGGCTGAAACACCTGCATTTTGGAGCTGCCTTACTCAAGAAAGCAAAAAAGAGACCATGTTTGTATGCAGCTTTAAGTCAATGATATATATACAGTGAGGGAAAAAAGTATTTGATCCCCTGCTGATTTTGTACGTTTGCCCACTGACAAAGACATGATCAGTCTATCATTTTAATGGTAGGTTTATTTGAACAGTGAGAGACAGAATAACAACAAAAAAATCAAGAAAAACGCATGTCAAAAATGTTATAAATTGATTTGCATTTTAATGAGGGAAATAAGTATTTGACCCCTCTGCAAAACATGACTTAGTACTTGGTGGCAAAACCCTTGTTGGCAATCACAGAGGTCAGACGTTTCTTGTAGTTGGCCACCAGGTTTGCACACATCTCAGGAGGGATTTTGTTCCACTCCTCTTTGCAGAGCTTCTCCAAGTCATTAAGGTTTCGAGGCTGACGTTTGGCAACTCGAACCTTCAGCTCCCTCCACAGATTTTCTATGGGATTAAGGTCTGGAGACTGGCTAGGCCACTCCAGGACCTTAATGTGCTTCTTCTTGAGCCACTCCTTTGTTGCCTTGGCCGTGTGTTTTGGGTCATTGTCATGCTGGAATACCCATCCACGACCCATTTTCAATGCCCTGGCTGAGGGAAGGAGGTTCTCACCCAAGATTTGACGGTACATGGCCCCGTCCATCGTCCCTTTGATGCAGTGAAGTTGTCCTGTCCCCTTAGCAGAAAAACACCCCCAAAGCATAATGTTTCCACCTCCATGTTTGACGGTGGGAATGGTGTTCTTGGGGTCATAGGCAGCATTCCTCCTCCTCCAAACATGGCGAGTTGAGTTGATGCCAAAGAGCTACATTTTGGTCTCACCTGACCACAACACTTTCACCCAGTTCTCCTCTGAATCATTCAGATGTTAATTGGCAAACTTCAGACGGGCATGTATATGTGCTTTCTTGAGCAGGGGGACCTTGCGGGCGCTGCAGGATTTCAGTCCTTCACGGCGTAGTGTGTTACCAATTGTTTTCTTGGTGACTATGGTCCCAGCTGCCTTGAGATCAAGATCCTCCCGTGTAGTTCTGGGCTGATTCCTCACCGTTCTCATGATCATTGCAACTCCACGAGGTGAGATCTTGCATGGAGCCCCAGGCCAAGGGAGATTGACAGTTCTTTTGTGTTTCTTCCATTTGCGAATAATCGCACCAACTGTTGTCACCTTCTCACCAAGCTGCTTGGCGATGGTCTTGTAGCCCATTCCAGCCTTGTGTAGGTCTACAATCTTGTCCCTGACATCCTTGGAGAGCTCTTTGGTCTTGGCCATGGTGGAGAGTTTGGAATCTGATTGATTGATTGCTTCTGTGGACAGGTGTCTTTTATACAGGTAACAAGCTGAGATTAGGAGCACTCCCTTTAAGAGTGTGCTCCTAATCTCAGCTCGTTACCTGTATAAAAGACACCTGGGAGCCAGAAATCTTTCTGATTGAGAGGGGGTCAAATACTTTTTTCCCTCATTAAAATGCAAAAATTTATAACATTTTCTACATGCGTTTTTCTGGATTTTGTTGTTGTTATTCTGTCTCTCACTGTTCAAATAAACCTACCATTAAAATTATAGACTGATCATTTCTTTGTCAGTGGGCAAACGTACAAAATCAGCAGGGGATCAAATACTTTTTTCCCTCACTGTATATATATTTGTTTACATTGTTTGTAAACTGATATGTGACGCGTAGTAATGCGCTGAATGATGGGTCGCTACTGAACTTGAAGCAGCGAATTCTGAGAGTGTGAATAATGCAACAAAGAGGTGCTTTTAATACAATATGTAGACCCAGGCTAATGCATACAAAGCAGAAAGACGACCGTTTCCAAACAATCTGCGCGAGCAAAAAATATTTTCATCCCAAAGTTGTCTGTCTGACTGCAAGCTCCCGCCCGCAGCATGAAAAGTTACGACCGCGCCACAATGATCGCTGTCAGGACCCGCAGCCCTCTACTTGGAGTCAAAGTATGGATTTATCTTCCAAAATAATATCATGATATATAACTGAATCGATTTTTTCCCCCATCACTATTTACCATACTGCATTGATAAACTATGTACATGTAGTGTTCACACTATTATTATAATAACATTATTATCTAAAATAATTATAATAATTTACAACAAATAAATTAAGCATGAAAATAAAGCATTTACAAAGGCTTATTAAAGGGATAGTTCGGGATTTTGGCAATGAGGCCCTTTATCTACTTCCCCAGAGTCAGATGAACTCGTGGATACCATTTAAATGTATCTGCTAGCGTTGCACAGTGACAAATTCTACAGGAACAGCTAGCATGCCAGTCATTGCGCTAACGCTTGTTAGCAATTGCACTAGCACTAGTTAGCAGCTTCCATCAAACTGCACGCAGATACATAAAAATGGTATCCATGAGTTAATCTGACTCTAGGGAAGTAGATAAAGGGCTTCATTACCAAAATCCCGAACTATCCCTTTAAAGAAAACATATTATATAAGGGAACAGAAAAACATCTTTGTTGTCCCGTTTATTCCAGGCTGCTACAGGATCACCACAGTGTTCAGTCATGCCCAGAGAGTGGTGCCCTGTGGCGGTTGCTCCTTCGTCCTGTGCCAGCCCAGAGGGGGGAAATGTCGCCTCACTGAGGGTAAGAAGTTGTACAATTACATTGCTCAAGAGCCTGAACTTATACAGTAGCATATGCACATACTATATCAGTTTAGAGCTCTATTGAATGTCTACTGATTATTAACTTGAACTTCTCTTTCTCGCCTCTCTATCCAGGCTGCTCGTTCAGAAGAAAGCAACACTGAGGGAGATTACAGTAGTGAGCTTTCAACTCTGATAGTCGTGAAAGGTGGACCATGGATGATTCCGACTCTTCAGTCTTAATTTTAGCATACATTATATTGATTGGAATGGGTATATTTAGCTGAGCTGATTGACAGTGCTTTGACCTTATTGTGATGTCTGTCTTTCATGCAAAATACAAGCAGAGTCATATGTTCAGCTACAATATTATGTCTTCCTTTCATATTGAATAGGAATAATATGATATAATATAAGTTGAAATAGTCTGCCTCTGTATGTTTATGAAATTTATATTTTTCTTAGTAAATAATAAAATAAATAATCGCTTAAGCCAGGTTACTTTGTTTTGTAAAAATTTATTAGATTGAAAGCGGGAAAGGTGAATGAAACATTTCAACACAGACTCAGTCAAATGTGAAGCTTTTTTCAAGGGCAAAGGACGAGAAGCCATGATCACCTTCACAGACAACAATAAAAACATTTGAGGGTTAATCTTCTCTGGTATGTGTATTCTTTGGTTTCAAGAGTTCCCCTGCCAGAAAGTGGTGAAAAACTGGAGCAATACATCTTCTCAATAACTAACATTATTCTACTATATACAATAAGTATCCATGTTTTAATACCGTGATTGATGCTCCAGTGGTGCTTATTTGGCATAACTTTTACTGTATATGCTACCACCAAATTTTATACCAGGAATGTGATTTTACACCTAGGGCTAGGCAGTCAAATGTAGAGCTGGGATAGTGGTCCAGCACGTCAGGGTATAGCGGAAAGGAGGTGCTATGAAGCTGCATACGGTGGTACTTTAAAACCATAGAGATTATAGGTTAAGTCAGAGGATGGGATGCAGTTCTTTAAAGGCTCTTTTCACATCATCAAAAACAATGATTTTGGCTTTGGCAAACCCTCCATGTCTGTCAGTCATAGTATTTTACCACCACCAGTAGCACCACAGACATGTTCACCATCCTTTCCATGAGTCATCCTCTAGTCTCAATGAGCATGTTAACACACGCAAGCACACCGAAGGCAGAATATTGACTCATTCTGAAAAAGCACAGTGCAACTTGTGAATATGTTCACATACATTGTGAATGCACTAAATATGACCATGTCAATGGGTGCATGGACAGTAAAGCTGATTCCTGTAAACTGTTCACATAAGACCTCTAGGTGGAGCTCATCATAAAATGAAGACCATGTCACTTAACCTATTTCAAAACCATGCTCCTGGAGTTCACATTTCAAATATGAGTTGTCGTTTTTCTATTCTTTACTAATTGGTCTGAATATAAGACTGTTTATAATTATGGTCATAATCCATTTTCTTTTAACACTGGTCTATAATCTCAAAGTTCCATAAAACAAAATGCTGTAAACATAAGAAACAGGGGATTCGAGGATGGTGGTGGATTGGAATGTATTTCTCTTGAAGAGAGAGAGAGAAAGTTGTGACTTAAAAAGAGAAGAAATATTAAGGGTACAAGTATTTAAGTTAATCCCCTTTCACTGGGAATGAAATTGAATATTTATGGAATGTTGCAAGACTTTTATCCTCTCCATCTTCCTCATAATTTTTATAAGCTGTTGAGCTCTTGCAGTGTTTGATCCAGGACTTGATGCATTCCCAAGTTTTCTTCTTTGGCACCTGCTAATTTTTCTGGAAAATAAAAAAGAATGACATTGAAGAATTATTGAATGAAACCACACAGGACAGGAGCATCATAAAGTTGATTAATATTAATTCATTCTCCTTAGGTTTGGTAAACAATATTCTACACTGATGCCAAAGCAATTCTTATACAGTATGCCCAACAGCTGTTTAACATAACTGCTGTGGTCATGTTAAGTTGTTCCATATGCAAACCCCAACCACACTAAAGAACCCTACAAAATGCAGATTTGCATGCATAAAACTGATGATGGTTAAGTCTGCATCTATTCAGCAGCTATGTACAGTAACAGTCTATTGAAAGCACTTTGTTGCACTGAACTTAAAAGACAAAGCCACTGGACATTTCCGATCTTATGAGCTGTAAGCAAAATGCACACTTTTTAAAACATGTTGTTGTGAACACACCTCAAATACTTAAACTGCAACCACAACCAGGAGTGTGTTAGTCAAGATATACATAGTTGTGTGACATTTATGCAAAATAGGTGAGGGACAGGCAACGTGAATGCATGCCTCACTCCATAAATTCTCACCTTCTTAAAACAGTTGTTTTGAAACATTGAAACATTTAATTCAAGAAGAAAGTATAGTTTAGATGTAGGAAATAATTGGCTTTTAATGAGTTGAATTGCACAGTGAGATGGACAGAAGGCACAGAGAACTGGAGAAAGGCCTGTGTTTCTGGCAGCTAACCCTGGGACACAGTAGGCCTACAGTGGGAAGGGTGAGAGGGCAGACACCCTGGAGGCAGCAGGAGACAGACAGGAAGAGACATCTACAAGGAGGTCATGTCATTGAGGGCATGGTCCAGCTCCTCGCTGATAGCCTTGTACTTCAGCTTCTGAGCGTACAGTTCATCTGGAGGTCAAAGGGCAGCAGGAAGTAGTGCAGGTAAGGCACAAGGAAAGCAGCAGTAGCAGAAAGAGAGGTGGAGGACAGGGAATGAGAAAGAAAATGGCAGCAAAAAGAGAGGGAAGAGAAAGAGAGGACAGGTCAGTGGTTGCAGAAGAGAAAATTCATACAGTATAAAAATGTAAGAACAGAAGATGCCAGAAAGATAAGAGATGTTTGTCTACCTTCCCACGGGGGGCCAGTATGAAAAAAAATAAATATAAATAATAATAATAATGTATGCACTCACTAACTGTAAGTCGCTCTGAATAAGAGTGTCTGCTAAATGACTAAAATGTTAAAATGTTAAAAATGTACCTGTGAGCATTTCAAAATGAAAATATGTTGCAAATCTTTTTTTATGGGCAGGTGACTACTTTAAGCAATTAAGCCCATATAAAGGTTTGTAAACCCATTCCATGTGGCTTTAGGACCAAATATGCTGATCTAAAAGGATTTTGAGCACACTTTGTCCTTTGTGCAGACAGCAGACACAAAAAGTGGTTGTCTTTGGAGGTCGGCCTGTTGCCGGTTAGTAGGGAATGGGCCTACATATTTCTTTACACTTGAGACCAAGACAGTGTGTTTTATTAGCTTGTCAGAGAAGTTTCCATATGTTTGGCAGAGTACCCTTTCTTCCAGATAAATATTTCCAGCTAGATGAAACACAAAACCCTTGCTGGGACCATGTCAATGTGAAACTGCATCACAAAATGGAACTGTGCATATTAAGATGTTGTTTCTTTGCTCACAGAGAGGATTAAATAACCAGACCTCGACCTAGGAAACTACATCCACTGGGGATTCCTGAACAAGCTCGACATCTTTACTAATTTAATAAATTGGAATGTCTCCCTGGGAGAAATGTATATGGTAGACTGCGGCCTCGCCACCCTGACATACCGTATGTTGTTCTGTTTAGAGATACTCAGGTTTAGAGGTCTGAGATGCTACTAAAAACTGTTCTTTCAAAATATAGTTTAATCTTCTGCAATAAAATATGTCTAACTTACAGTAACTTGCTCTACACTAAGATACGTTTACTTTCTCTTCTATATTGCCATAGAGCAGTTTGCAACAGTTTCTTAAACAAAGCACTCATACCTTCCAGGTCGTCGATGGACTTTTCCAGTTTGGCCACAGTCCTCTCTGCAAATTCTGCACGAGTCTCAGCCTGGGGGACACAGAGGGAGTGGGGGGCGTCAGAACAAGACGCCATCTTTGACATGGAGCAAATTGGTTTACTACTGTATGTATTAAGAATCAAATAAGATGCCAGCAACTGCTTACCTCCTTCAGCTTGTCACTAAGAACCTTGATCTCCTCCTCATACTTGTCCTCTTTTTCTGAGTACTGTCAAAATACAAGTCTGTTACAGACAAGCTCTGAATTCTTGAACATGTCTGAACTCCAAGACAGATACAGAAACAGACAGACATATTAGCATGAAAGTGCATAGAGAGTGATGGTCTTGCAGGACTGTTTGTCAACCATGCTTCGTTGTAATACAACACTTCAGGTGTGATAAACTGTCTGTGTGTTGGTATAGGGAACACATTGTGCTGTGATGCCAACCATGAGAAAGACATTGATTTAATCAGCACAGCGCAACTGCTTAAGTAGCTAAGGGGGAATCATGTGGCATGACTGACACTAGACCGGCTGGGTGGGAATGCAGAGACAAATCTGTGCTGGTCTAGAACTATTACACCTTCATGTGCCATCAACATTATCATTAAGAAATCAACATCCAATTTGTCAGGTGATAACAGGGTCTTTGTTCTGATGCCTATGAAAGTAAAAGTGTGGCAGGCAGTGATTATACTCAAAACAACTCTGCTTTCATGTCAGCCATGTATAGTCAACTCCTGATAACTGCAAAGGCTTGGGACAGCCCTAAGTGGGTGAACTAACCCAGAACATGCAGATACCCCAGAATAAGTTAAAATAATGTATTTGAATTGGGAATGGGGATCTACACTGCACTTCGCACTTATCCAATGTGCACTTATCAGCAGTTGACTGCATTTACTTGTATGATGTAATAGTATGCACACTGACCTTCTCAGACGAGGCTTCTAGGGACTTGAGGTTGTTGGTCACATTTTTCAACTCCTCCTCCAGATCACTGCATTTACTACAGGGGGAGAAAGGAAGAGAAGTACTTAGCTTTGACATCTCAATAGTTACACAAGCCTGGAAAAACCTTAAAGAAAACTGATGTCCATTTTAGCTTATGGCAGTAAATCACATTTTTGAACTGGACACTTTTTAAAATGTTAATAAAAAATGTGTTATGAAGCTCCTTACAAACCTTTTGACTCTTCTATTTCTAAATAGGAGGATAAGAGACCCCATCACAGAGGGATCCTAACCCCAATTTCCCCTTGTATTCCAGCGTAATAGGAGGAGTGTGCTGCACTTACAGTTCTGAGACTTCTGCCCTCTCCTCAGCTCTCTCCAGCTCTCCCTCCAAGATCACCAGCTTACGGGCCACCTGAGGTAGACAGAGAGAACCATATAAGTGGAACAGTAAGAGTAAAATGAATATTAAAAGTAAGAGTAATGAATGGGGAGAACAGTATGAGAACAGTATGAGAACACTATGAATGGAAGAAAAAGTATGAGAACAGTATGAGAACAGTATGAGAACACTATGAATGGGAGAACAGTATGAGAACAGTATGAGAACAGTATGAGAACACTATGAGAACAGTATGAATGGGTGAACGGACGGTGGGTGTAGAGCTCCACACAGGACAATCTCTATGGGACTATATGAAGTCTCACCTCCTCGTATTTTCGGTCGGCCTCCTCAGCGATGTGCTTGGCCTCCTTCAGCTGCATCTCCTGGATCTCCATCTTCTCCTCATCCTTAGAGGCCCTGTTCTCTATCACCTTCATACCTCTGATTGGACAGGACACACAGTGATATCAGCAACACACAAGACACACTCAATTGCAAGTGTCATTTACATAGCCCATCCAACATGGAGGCACATTGAATCGTTTTACACATTCAAGATGGCTGTCTGGGAAATAGTACGCTTTCAGTACGCTATTGAAGGGGCTGGTCATTTGCTAGCAATGCACATAGCAACAAAACTTAACGATAAAGAACCTTCAAAGCAAGCTGCATGTTCCTGGTACTATCCAACAGGCCTCAAACCAGCAGGAAAAAGGGCCTATAAATATGCTGTCAAATTAAAGATGATAAATACATCAGTTTCTGTGGCTGGCTGGTACTGACCTCTCGCTCTCATCTGCGGCCTTCTCTGCCTCCTCCAGTTTCTGCAGCGCGGTGGCCAGCCTCTCCTGGGCCCGGTCCAACTCCTCCTCCACTAGCTGGATCCTGCGGTTCAGACCCGCCACATCACCCTCCGCCTGGGAGAAGAGAGGGGGAAGAGGGGTCAAAGGTTAGACAGATATCAGGGTCACACTGACATAGTAATGTGTTGTACTAGAGAGAAGCACGTCCTGCTAAGAGGATGTTCCCTGGATGGAAGCCATCTTATGGAGGTTAAAGACACCCTCAGTCACCCATAACCATGTGTCAGGATCCAAGGACAGGGGAATTCACAGAGAGCCCATATCCTCTCCATGATAACTTAAGCCAAGGCAATCTATATGGCTGAGTTCTTGGGTGTCAAATGAGTCATGCATTCACAGTGTCTAAATGACTAATAACTAAATGGCAAAGTGAATTGAAGGAAATGTTCAAATGGATAGAAGCTAGAGTCTTTTAAGGTCAGTGGGTTTAATGGTGAATGAAATGTGAACAGAACTCTTGATTCCATCTATTAAGAAAACAGAACGGGGTCACGAGATGGAAGAAAAATTGGATGCTCTTCACTCGATAAACAATCCACTTTGTAGATGTCACGGTTTCGGCCGAGGCTGCTCCTTCTCCTTGTTCGGGCAGACTTCGGCGGTCGTCGTCTCCGGAGTACTAGCTGCCACCGTTCTATGTTTTTCGATGTTTGATTGGTTTTGTCTGTTTTGTTACACCTGTTCCTTGTTAGTGTTAATTATGCGTCCTATAAGTTCTCTTGAGTTTTGTCATGTGTTGTGTGTAATTGTTCGTTGTCACTGTGGGATGCTAGTTCATTTTTGTCTCTCTGTTCGGTGTAGTAGAGAGCTCCGCACTTTTGTGCCTTTGTATGTACTTTACCGGTGTGCGTAAAGTTCGCTTGCCTGCCAGGTTGTATGTAGCCGTGTTTGGCTTGTTCTTTTTTGTCTTCACTAAAGACGTCAGTACCAAGCCTCTGTGTGTCCTGCGCTTGGTTCCACACCACTTCTACACTCAACTGTGACAGAATTACACACCATTACTATGGAATCAGCAGGAGCAGCCGCACCTACCGAGATTATTGAGGAGCGCCTTCGTGGACAGGAGGACAGGATCAACCAGATCGGGCACGCTCTGGATAGGGTGATGAACACCCTCCATCGATGGGAGGCCAGCGGAGTACCCACGCCCCCACCTACCACACCATCACCATCGGTCAGTCCACCTGTCCAACTTCCGGAACCCAGTGGGATTCGGCTCTCGCTCCCGAGGGCGTACGACGGCACCGCGGCCGGGTGTCAGGGTTTCCTGTTGCAAATCGAACTCTACCTCGCCACCGTACACCCGGTGCCCTCGGGACACGAGAGCGTTTCCGCCCTCATCTCCTGTCTCACCGGCAAGGCGTTGGAGTGGGCCAACGCCGAATGGAGGAGGATAGACGCCGCAACGATCACCTATGCGGAGTTCTCCCGCCGCTTCCGGGCAGTGTTCGACCATCCACCTGAGGGGAAGGCGGCGGTGGAGCGTCTATTCTACCTCCGGTAGGGGATGAGGAGCGCTCAAGAGTTTGCACTGGAGTTCCGGACGCTAGCGGCAGATGCAGGGTGGAATGAGCGGGCCCTCATAGATCACTTCCGCTGCAGCCTCAGGGAGGACGTCCGTAGAGAGTTGGCGTGCAGGGACACTACTCTTTCGTTTGACCAATTGGTTGACATGGCCATTCGGCTAGACACCCTGCTCGCCACCCGCGGACGTCCTGGGTGGGGGTCGCCCATTCCACCCTCCAGCACCTCCGAGCCGAGTCCTATGGAGCTCGGGGGTGCTGGCGCTAGAGAACGGAGGAGAAGGAGCCCGAGGGGGGCCATCCCCTGCACCAACTGTGGCCGTGGAGGGCACACCGCGGCTAGGTGCTGGGGAGGGTCTCCTGGAGGACGAGACAGCAGGCCACACATTGGGGAGTCCTCCCAGGTGAGTAGGCGCCCCACTTACCAAGAGCTTTCTGTCGGGCACATAACCATACCTGTTTGTTTTCCACAGGTTGCACCTCGTTCCCAGCATAAGGCGCTAGTAGATTCAGGCGCAGCTGGGAATTTTGTAGATCGTAAATTTTGTATAGAGTTAGGGATCCCTCTCCTACCGGTTAATAATCCCTTCCCTGTACATGCCCTAGATAGCCGTCTGTTAGGATCCGGGTTGATCAGGAAGGTCACAGTGCCACTTAGGATGGAGACGCAGGGGGGTCATGAGGAGACGATTCAGCTATACCTGATTGACTCTCCTGCGTATCCGGTGGTGCTGGGGCTTCCCTGGTTGATTACTCACGATCCTACCATTTCGTGGCGAGAGAAGGCTCTTAAGGGGTGGTCTGCCCAGTGTGTGGGGCTATGTCTGGGTGTTTCCGTAGGGGCGACCTCGGTGGAGAGTCCAAACCAAATGCCCGCAATGCATGTTCCCCCCGAGTATGAGGATTTAGCACTCGTGTTTAGCAAGGCGAGGGCGGCGCGATTGCCACCTCATAGACAGGGGGATTGTGCGATAGACCTCCAGGCAGGAGCTGCGCTCCCACGGAGCCATGTGTATCCTTTGTCACAAGAGGAGAAGAGGGCAATGGAGACATACATTGCCGAGTCTCTGAGACAGGGATACATACGGCCCTCCACTTCCCCTGCGTCCTCGAGCTTCTTTTTTGTGAAGAAAAAAGATGGAGGTTTGCGCCCGTGTATCGATTACCGCGGTCTCAATCAGATTACTGTGAAATATAGTTATCCACTCCCTCTGATTGCGACTATGACGGAGTCATTACACGGGGCACGGTTCTTCACAAAATTGGACCTCAGGAGCGCATACAACTTGGTGCGCATTAGAGAGGGCGATGAATGGAAGACAGCATTTAGTACTACCTCGGGTCATTACGAGTATCTCGTCATGCCATACGGGTTAATGAATGCTCCATCAGTCTTCCAATCCTTGTGGATGAGATCTTCCGGGACATGCAGGGGCAGGGAGTGGTCGTGTACATAGACGATATTCTAGTGTACAGTTCTACCCGAGCCGAGCATGTAGCCCTGGTGCGCCGAGTGTTGAGGAGGCTGTTGGAGCATGACCTGTATGTCAAGGCAGAGAAATGTCTGTTCTTCCAGGAGTCGGTCTCCTTTTTGGGTTATCAGTTGTCCGCGTCAGGGGTGAAGATGGAGGTTGACCGTGTGTCAGCCGTGCGTAATTGGCAAACCCCAACCACAGTGAAAGAGGTGCAGCAGTTCTTGGGCTTTGCGAATTACTACCGGAGGTTTATCCGGGGTTTTGGACAGGTGGCAGCTCCCATAACGTCCCTTCTGAAGGGGGGTCCGGTGCGCTTGCGGTGGTCAGCTGAGGCGAACAGGGCTTTTGGGAGACTGAAGGACCTGTTTACTTTGGCTCCGGTGCTGGCGCATCCGGATCCCGCTTTACCATTCCAAGTGGAGGTGCACGCGTCAAAAGCCGGTATCGGGGCCGTTCTCTCGCAACGATCCGGCACACCACCTAAACTCCGCCCCTGTGCTTTTTACTCGAAAAAGCTCAGTCCGGCGGAGCGAAATTATTACGTAGGGGACAGGGAGCTGTTAGCCGTGGTACAGGCCCTAAAGGTGTGGAGGCATTGGCTTGAGGGGGCTCAACACCCTTTTCTCATTTTGACTGACCACCGTAACCTGGAATACATTCGGGCAGCTAGGAGACTAAATCCTCGCCAGGCTCGGTGGACTATGTTTCTAGCCCGGTTCGTGTTTAAGATCACTTACATCCCTGGGTCCCAGAACGGGAAGGCAGACGCCCTGTCTCGGCGGTATGACACAGAGGAGAGGTCCGTTGAGCCCACTCCCATACTACCTGAGTCTTGTCTGGTGGCACCGGTGGTGTGGGAGGTCGATACGGAGATCGAGCGGGCGTTACGCACCGACCCTAGCCCTCCACAGTGTCCGGTGGGTCGGACGTACGTCCCGCTCGAGGTCCGGGATCGACTCATTTATTGGGCTCACACGTCACCCTCCTCTGGGCATCCAGGTATTGGCCGGACAGTGCACTGCCTTAGCACAAAGTACTGGTGGCCAACGTTAGCCAGGGATGTGAGGATTTATGTCTCCTCCTGCTCGGTGTGTGCCCAGTGTAAGGCGCCCAGACACTTGCCCAGGGGTAAGTTACAACCCCTGCCCGTTCCACAACGACCCTGGTCTCACCTCTCGGTGGATTTTGTTACAGACCTTTTCCCCTCACAGGGGAATACCACCATCCTGGTCGTTGTGGATCGGTTCTCGAAGGCCTGTCGTCTCCTTCCCATGCCGGGTCTTCCTACTGCCCTACAGACCGCTGAGGCTCTATTCACCCACGTCTTCCGGCATTACGGGGTACCCGAGGATATAGTGTCTGATCGAGGCCCCCAGTTTACCTCCAGAGTCTGGAGAGCGTTTATGGAGCGTTTGGGGGTTTCGGTGAGCCTTACCTCGGGTTACCACCCGGAGAGTAATGGGCAGGTCGAACGTGTCAACCAGGATGTGGGTAGGTTTCTGAGGTCGTATTGCCAGGGCTGGCCGGAGGAGTGGGCGAGGTATGTTCCCTGGGCCGAGATGGCACAGAACTCTCTCCGCCACTCCTCCACTAAACTAACTCCTTTCCAGTGTGTGTTAGGGTACCAGCCGGCTCTGGCACCTTGGCATCAGAGCCAGATCGAGGCCCCTGCGGTGGATGAGTGGGTGCGGCGCTCGGAGGAGACGTGGAACGCTGCACACATCCATCTGCAGCGAGCCATCCGTCGACATAAGACGAGCGCCGATCTCCACCGCAGTGAGGGGCCAGTGTACGCACCTGGAGATCGAGTCTGGCTCTCGACCAGAAACCTGCCCCTCCGCCTGCCCTGCCGGAAGCTGGGTCGGCGGTTTGTGGGGCCTTTTAAAGTCCTGAGGAGATTGAACGAGGTGTGTTACAGGTTACAACTGCCAATTGATTACAAGAATATTAACCCCTCGTTCCATGTGTCTCTCCTCAGGCCGGTGGTAGCTGGTCCACTCCAGGACTATGAGATAGAAGAGACTCCTCCGCCCCCGCTGGACATCGAGGGGGCTCCGGCGTACACTGTTCGGTCCATCCTAGATTCGAGACGCCGGATGGGGGGTCTCCAATATCTCGTGGAGTGGGAGGGGTACGGCCCGGAGGAGCGGTGCTGGGTGCCGAGGAGGGACATCCTAGACCCGTCTCTTCTGACCGAGTTCCATCGTGGTCATCCCACGCGCCCTGCTCCGCGTCTTCCTGGTCGTCCTCGAGGCCGGGGTCGGCGCACGGCTGGAGCCGCGCGTCAAGGGGGGGGGGTACTGTCACGGTTTCGGCCGAGGCTGCTCCTTCTCCTTGTTCGGGCAGGCTTCGGCAGTCGTCGTCTACGGAGTACTAGCTGCCACCGTTCTATGTTTCGATGTTTGATTGGTTTTGTCTGTTTTGTTACACCTGTTCCTTGTTAGTGTTAATTATGCGTCCTATAAGTTCTCTTGAGTTTTGTCATGTGTTGTGTGTAATTGTTCGTTGTCACTGTGGGATGCTAGTTCATTTTTGTCTCTCTGTTCGGTGTAGTAGAGAGCTCCGCACTTTTGTGCCTTTGTATGTACTTTACCGGTGTGCGTAAAGTTCGCTTGCCTGCCAGGTTGTATGTAGCCGTGTTTGGCTTGTTCTTTTTTGTCTTCACTAAAGACGTCAGTACCAAGCCTCTGTGTGTCCTGCGCTTGATTCCACACCACTTCTACACTCAACTGTGACAGTAGAAAGCAAACAGAAAAGCAAACATTTATTTAGTCCATAAGCATATCCACCTCCTATTTAAACACAGCAAACTGACTCCAGACCAGTTCAATGGAAGCTCTCCCGCAAACTCTGACTCACTCAGGCCCTACTACTACCTCTCCCACAGTTCAGTACAGCACCCACAGGCCTGCCTCTGGCTGACCATGACCAGACCCATTTTACACAACCTGCAGTTACTCCTCTCCTAATTACAAGGCGTGCTGACAAAGGGAGCTGCCCTCCACTGCCCTCTATCACTTGGTCCTATCACCAGCCAGTCAGTCTCTCAGTCAGTTAGTCACCATGGGCGTGAGGACTGAACACTAGGCCTGCCTACTAGAGACATGCTGTCTCAGAGGCCAGCAGAATACAGGTTAGGGCTAGGGCCTGGAATAAAAGGGCCACAGAGATGGCGGTTTACCTTTGGAGAGGGAGGCATAGAGAGAGCTAACAGAGCACAGGGGAAAAGGGTAATTAGGAGCTATTTGTGCAGAGTGAGTGCCATCCCATTCCATTCTCTCATGGCCTGGATATTCCAGCTCTGCTCTTGGCTGGGATGGCTGTGGGAGAGACATGGCTTCCTGCTCTGCTCTGCTCAGGGCCTGGCGGTTAGTCAGCACTCTCCTTTCTATGCCTCTCTTTTGCTTTCTCTCGATCTCTCCCTCTCTCTCTCAGTCTTTCCCTAGTTACGACAAAAGCCTGTAAAGAGACAGTGGAGGCGGACAGGAAATGTCTGTTAAATGAAAGGTTGATGGAACAACAGTCAGCCAGCTAAAAGCCAATTGAATCCAACGAGACGATGACCGATTTTCCAGACAGTGAATGCTGTTGCATAAATTGACCACAAAATGAATAATTGTGGATAATATCTCGTTCCCTAACTTCTTTATAGGATTCTATGGATATCAGATCAACTGCCAGACAGTTTGAAAGAAAATACAAACCGGGCCTGAAAAAACGGATTGTTATTTCCTGGGTGAGGTCATTTTTATTATTTAACCTTTATTTATCAGGTTTTTCCTCACTGAGATAAAATCTATTTTTCAACAGAGACCTGGTCTAATGGCTATCTGGAGAATGCCTCCACACATAAACAAACATTCTATTCATGAGCGCAGGTCAGTTAGGTATGCAGGTCTGTATGCGGCTGTAAAATAGCTCCAGATACAGACAAGCAGGCAGTTAGCAACAGAGCTAGCTTCCTGAACAGTTTAATGGCTGTTGTCAAAATATCAGCAGCATAGAAACATTGATTACCAGGGGATTTACCACTCAAATAATGAGCAATAGTGTTGAGGTACTAGTTTATAATGGCGATCTAACATCAGACGTTCAAGTTACGTTTTTAATGTCACGTGCACAAGTACAGTGAAATGTACTTGTGCACGTGGAAATCTCCCCCAGACAATACTCTGTGGGTTTTAAAACATGATTATCTATCTATACAGTATGTCCCTTCATGCTTCCGAAGGTATTCATTCAGCTATGTGGAGGGAACCAGGCATTCTTCTGTGAGACACATGACAATGGTAGATACTGGCATTCAACCACAGAAGTCTCTCAGGGTTGAATGGGAGTGGCATTTTGTTGTTGTTTGTTCAGCTACACAGTACCTTATCTATGTACCAGGCCCATGCCATTATGGATGGTTGCTAATGAATACTCTGGAGACTTGAAAAGTACCACAAAGAAAAGTATGCAACTCATTTCCAATAAACTGACATAACAGCTTACAGGATCACCCTATACAGTACATGAGTACATTCCTGTTACACATTCAGCGTTTTAGACTAAATGTAATGACCCTTTTTGAGAGAAAGGAAGTGGAATAAGTTTAAAGGGGGAAAAAGGTAGAAAAGGAACAGGAAGCCAACCCTCTCCTTCCTCCCTCCCCTCTTTCTTTCTCAGTCAGTTAAGGGTCAGAGGAGAGCTCTCTCTCCCTCTTTCTCTCTCTTTCCCTAGCCATGCCCCTTCCTTAGTCACCCAGCATTCTCCGGCTGCCTGCGACGCACGCCTTATATGGTAAAACATACTCAAGAGAATGTTTGTGGTGCCAGGAAGATGTTAGAGAGCAATCACACACGCATGCGCACGCATGCGTGCACACACACACACACACACACACACACACACACACACACACACACACACACTTGTGTACATGCACACAATCACACATAGACACACACACAGAAAAAAATGCTTAAATTAAACCATCTGTGAGCACTGGGATTCAGGAAAAGCAAAGATACCAAGCTACAAGGACATGCTCTGTTAGCTCTTCCTCTCTCTCATATAAACTAAGCCGATCCAATTATGAATGGAGATAGGAAATGTCTAGTGAGAAACTAAATAGACTACATTAATGACATGTCTAATATTATGTCATGATGGCACTAAATATAGCTATCAACAATAATGTGTTCTGAATGAAAAGTGTGTCAGTAGCTATGGCTAGGGCCAGGAGTGTCTCCTGGCCACGTCAGGAAAAACTTGGAACCTTAGTTAACGTTATGGTCTATAACTAGGACCAGGAGTTTTTTTCTGATCCCATGGCCAGATCAGGAAAAACTGAAAACCCAAGTTATATTGGTCAGGAAAAACTCCTAGCACATAGGTAGCTACTATATGTCTGCAGTACCAGCTGAATGTGTTCTGTTGTTTGGAGGCCGTTTGAGGCTTGGCAGCTAATGACACAACGACACCCTACTGACACTAATTACACACTGACACAGCATCCTCAATGAGCGCCCGCAGCTCACTATAATAAGCTTGATGTTGTTAGCCCAGCATCTGGAGTGCTGAATAGCTGAATCACTCCCTTTGTCCCCCGCTCTGCACACAGTGGTATCTCCCTCCCTTTGTCCTCCGCTCTGCACACAGTGGTATCTCCCTCCCTTTGGCCCCTGCTCTGCACACAGTGGTATCTCCCTCCCTTTGGCCACGCGACTGGCTTTCTTAATGCTGTCAATATAACTCCAATATACTTTATATCAACACCAGAGGCTTTTCAATGGCCACAATTATGTAAATGCTGAGCTATAGACGACAGGGATTGGCCATATAATTTAGCAGACACTTTATTTTTACCAAAGCGACTTATACAGTGACTGAATACATTTTCGTATTGATGGCACCAGCGGAAATCAAACCCAAGTCCCTGGCGCCGCTAGCGTCATGCTCTTACCAACTGAGCGAGAAGCCCCTCGCTGTGGCTCATGGAACAGGGTGGGCCAACCCCGCACACCACACATTTTTATTTGCGGAGGCAAAGGACCATACTTTATGAAAAGAGCAGACGCTCTGAGATATTCAACCAGGACCAAGACTACTACTACCATTTCCATACTTAAGCCAGAGTTTTCAAACTAAACCATCTTTGCTTCCATACATACAAGCGATGATTGGAGCGGTACCCGTCAGAGTCCTGCATTTATTTATCTAAATACATGGCTCTGGTACGCGTTTGTCCCTCTTGTCAAGCGGCTAGTGCCTTGGTCCATGCTATCCAGAATCCTTGGGACGTCCCAACTCTGACGTTGCCCCATTGAAGTTGAAATGTAAAATGGTTAAGGTAAGGGTTAATGGTCCCGAACAGTCATTCTGATTCCCATGTAAAATAGCCTTTTGAGTGACTAAAATATCACCCATAATCATTTTGGGGGATAGAAATGCTCAAAATTTGAGAAAAAATATTTTCTCTCTCATGGCTAACTATCAGGAAGTTTAAAAAAGACAGGCTGAGTGGGCATGGGAGCTTATATTCATGAGCTTGCCTTGACTGAAAGCTATTTGAAACTCCCATGTCAAGAAACGTGGATACAGTGAGCAGTGTAGCAGTAAAATAATCTCAAGCAAATTTGGTGATACACAAAGCAACTGAAACAACATTGAAATTGCATCAATTATGTTATTTGTTTTTACACATCTCCTGTTTGGCATGTCTCTTGTGATGCGGTTCACAGCAGCACTGATGGATGTGTTGACAAGACAACTACCTCAGAGTTTTGAACAACCCTCCCCGCTTTTGTTCCATGCTGGCTGAAGACCTAGCTAGCCAGTAAGTAGAAAAACACCAGACACCGATGAAAGGGGAAACATATAACTATCTTTGCCATAGATGAATAGTGTATACTTTTTATTATATTTGCTGACACCCTACAGTCAAATTTTGGCACCAGTTGAGTAGCTATCTAGCCATATAAACCATTGCCCCTCTGCAAACACACCTTCTCCAATGTTGGTTATAAGGCAGTACTTATTTAAATTAGGTAAGAGAATATCATGTTATCATTGGTGTATTCAAATGAGAGTTAGGGTGATGTCACCCCCATCCCCTTAATAATCCTGCATCCTGAATCCAAGTGTTTGACATGGGGAGGGGACCAGTACCTTTATGATCAAACATTATCAATGTAGAAGCAACAGTAATTTTGTATACTTTGGCCATCATACTTTGAACTGGTTTCATCCAAATATCATCACATTTCATGAAAAACATGATTTTAAGGTTAGGTAAGCGTTAAGGTAGGGGTTAAGGTTAGGGTAGGGATGTCCCAAGGATACCAGATAGCACTAACCCTAGTACCTTCACACACACACACACACACACACACACAGAGAGAGACGGAGGACGACAGCCACTAAACAAACATTTTCGAAGTGTGAAAACTTAAACGCTATAGCACCATAAGCATGCATAAAAAAGTATTTACAGGCAATCGAAATGATTAACCAAAAAACAATGTTTTTTATTGTTAGACGTGACTGACTCTGTAAACCTTGCGAAAGTATTCACCCCCCCCCTTGGCATTTTTCTTATTTTGTTGCCTTACAACCTGGAATTAAAATAGATTTTTGGGGAGTTTGTATCATTTGATTTACACAACATGCTTACCACTTTGAAGATGCAAAATATATTTTATTGTGAAACAAACAAGAAATAACAGAAAAACAGAAAACTTGAGCGTGCATAACTATTAACCCCCCCAAAGTCAATACTTTGTAAAGCCACCTTTAGCAGCAATTACAGCTGCAAGTCTCTTGGGGTATGTCTTTATAAGCTTGGCACATCTAGCCACTGGGATTTTTGCCCATTCTTCAAGGCAAAACTGCTCCATCTCCTTCAAGTTGGATTGGTTCCGCTGGTGTACAGCAATCTTTAAGTCATACCACAGATTCTCAATTGGATTGAGGTCTGGGCTTTGACTAGGCCATTCCAAGACATTGAAATGTTTCCCCTTAAACCACTCGAGTGTTGCTTTAGCAGTATGCTTAGGGTCATTGTCCTGCTGGAAGGTGAACCTCCGTCGCAGTCTCAAATCTCTGGAAGACTGAGATTTCCCTCAATAATTTTCCTGTATTTAGCGCCATCCATCATTCCTTCAATTCTGACCAGTTTCCCAGTTCCTGCCGATGAAAAACATCCCCACAGCATGA